GCACTTCCCTCTGCTCTCCCCCCCCCTCGGGACAGCGCCCCCCCCCGCACTTCCCTCTGCTCCCCCCTTCCTGGGACAGCGCCCCCCCCCCGGCACTTCCCCTACTCCTTTCCCTCTGCTTCCTGGTACAGCTCCCTACCCCCACCCCTCCTCTTCCTCTGCCCCCCTCCCAAACTCCCCCCCACCTTCCCCTTAGACAGCCCCTCCATCCCCTTTCCCTCAGATTCCCTCCCCCACACCCTGGGCTCTCTGGTTGCCCCTCCCCTGTGTGATCCCTGCCCCTGGAGGTCTCTCCCGTCCCATCCCCCCACGGGTTCCCCCTTCCTTGACCAGGGCATCCTGGTCCCCCATTTCCCCTCCCCTGCCTGAGGTCTCCCAGCCCCCTGTGCCTTCCCCTGGATACTACCCTCCCCTCATTGGCCCTGGGCGATCTGTGACCTCCCCCGCAGTCTGCCTACCCCCCCATTGTCTGCCCCCCCCCATTGCACCTCTCTCCCCGCCCCCATTGCCTAGGTCTCCTCTCCCCGCCAAGCGGCGGATCTTACCGCCCGGTCCCGATGCAGGCCGGCGGGGGTGCCGAGGGGGAGCTGGGAGGCGAGGGGGAGCGGGAGCCCCTGAACCCGGAGGCGGCGGACACACTGGGGGTCTCCCCCACCTACCGGGAGTTTGTGCGGCACAGCTACCTGGAGCTGATGGGTGCCAACCAGCACTCGCTGCACGCCCTCAACTGGCGGCGTCTCTACCTCAGCCGGGCTAAGCTCAAGGCCTCGAGTCGCACCTCAGCCCTGCTCTCCGGCTTCGCCATGGTGAGCGGACCCCGGCGTCCGGGTGCCCAGCACCCACTAGGCCCCACTTCCCTCCCAGAGCTGGGGAGAGAACCCAGGAGTCCTGGCTCCCAGCCCCTCCCTGCTCTGACTCCCCTTCCCTCCCCAGAGATAGAACCCAGGCATTGGGGCACCTAGCCCCCCACCTCACCTGCTCTAACCACTGGACCCCACTGCCCTCCCACAGCTGGGCATGGAACCCAGGAGTTCTGACTAGCTATAGCGGTGTTGGGGGGGTGGGGGGTCAGGGCAGTTAGGAAGCCCCTCTAATCTACATCCCTTACTAGAGTTTAGTACCCAGGGTAGGGCCCAGCCCCAGGGCTGGGGAATAATTCACTGAGGACATGGAACCAGGACTCCTGGGTTCCATCCCTGGCTCTGGCAGGGGAGTGGGGTCCAGTGGTTAGAGCAGGGGGGCCAGGAGGACTGTCACACAGGCCCACATCTACCCCTCCTCCTCCAGCTAGCCTGGTAACCAGTAACCTCCTTTCCTTCCCCTCAAGGCCAGAGTTGTGGCCACTGCCCACGTGTTGATTGTGGTTAATTGGCCCCAGGGCAGTGGCATGTGCCAGCGGATGTGACACTGTCTCAAACCTGGCAACAAGATAAGACCTCTCTTCCTGCCCCCCCAGCTCTGCCGGTGCCCCTCGCTCCTGACCCACAGTCCCCTGCCAGCCCAGCTCTGCCCCCGCCCCCCGCTCTGCCGGTGCCCCTGATCTTTCCCCTTCAAGGCCCTCCTGTCTCTCTGGGAAGATAATTTTGCTTCCACCCATCCCCAGGCGAAATTCCAGCCCTGGGGATGATCTCACTCCTGTAACTGCAGCAACTGATTAGGATGGAACCTACTGCTGCAGCCTGGGGATGGGGTCTGGAGCCTCTCCCCTCTAGGGGGCACCAGCTCTTATCCAGCCCCCTGGGTGTGGGTGTTGGTGTGTTGGCCCGTTGCTCTGACCCTGTTAATTAGATTGAGGAGGCCTGACTGCCAATTCCCAGCCGTGCCAGCCTGTGCCCAGCCCCCAGTCTGGGAAACACCCGTGCTCCTGATCCCCTCTAGTAGGGGGCAGCGCTGCCCACACAACCCCTCTCCCAGAGTCGGGGATCGAACCCAGGAGTCCTGGCTCCCCGGTCCCGTGTTCTGGCTTCCTAATTACTCCCTTCTTGCCCTGGGGTGGGGTTAGATCAATCTGGAGTTGTGACCCCTCTGGCACTGTGAGGGTTAACTGCCCCCTTCCCTTCTGGGGGCCAGGATGAAGGGCCCAGGATGGTGGATCCCTTACCCCTGCCCACTGCCCCCCCTCTTGGGCTTAATTCCTGGCAATGTCTTCTTCAGGCCCTCTGGCACTGCCCCATGAATGTGACCCCGCCTCTTCTCCCTGGCCCTGCTTTGCCCAGTGCCCCTGAGCTGGGCCAGGCTCTGAGACCCACTTTGTGCCCCCTGCCAAGCCCCCCACTCTCCGCAGCACTCCGAGCCCCCCCACCCCACCCCTGCCACAAGGGTTAAACGCAAGCTTTAGTATGCTGCCCTCCTGCCTCCGTTCCCCTGTCTGAGACTGCCTTAAACACAGTGACTGAGCTGTCAGAGCTGGGGAAATATTTGGTGTTTGCTGAGCCCGCCCTGCACCCCAGAGCAGTGGGAAAGGAATTTGGCTCCAGCTGTGATGTGTTAAAGGAGTGGGGGAGGGGACACAGGGCCTTTCCCCTCTAGGGGAGCGCTGGCTTGGATCTGGGCCCAGTGTGGGGACTGGCTGGCTCAGGGGGGTGGGGAATGGGACCTGGGGCCTTTCCCCTCTAGGGGGCGCTGGCTCTGATCTGGGCCCAGGGTGAGGACTGGCTGGCTCAGGGGGGTGGGGAATGGGACCTGGGGCCTTTCCCCTCTAGGGGGCGCTGGCTCTGATCTGGGCCCAGGGCGGGGACTGGCTGGCTCAGGGGAGTGGGGAATGGGACCTGGGGCCTTTCCCCTCTAGGGGGCGCTGGCTCTGATCTGGGCCCAGGGTGAGGACTGGCTGGCTCAGGGGGGTGGGGAATGGGACCTGGGGCCTTTCCCCTCTAGGGGGCGCTGGCTCTGATCTGGGCCCAGTGTGGGGACTGGCTGGCTCAGGGGGGTGGGGAATGGGACCTCACACGAGCCAGGAGTGGAGCTGACGGTGTCTCCGGCGCCCCCTGCAGGTGGCGATGGTGGAGGTGCAGCTGGAGGACTATGACTACCCACCGGGGCTGCTGATCGCCTTCAGTGCCTGCACGACGGTGCTGGTGGCCGTGCACCTCTTTGCCCTCATGGTCAGCACCTGCATCCTGCCTAACATCGAGGCCGTCAGCAACATCCACAACCTCAACTCGGTCAACGAGTCGCCCCACGAGCGCATGCACCGCTACATCGAGCTGGCCTGGGGCTTCTCCACCGCCCTGGGCATCTTCCTCTTCCTCACCGAGGTGGTGCTCATCTGCTGGGTCAAGTTCATGCCCGTGGCCGGCGGCGGCTGGGACGCCGCTGTGGCCTCCACCGTCATCATGGTGCCGGTGGGGGTGGTGTTCGTGGTGTTCGCCCTCCACTTCTATCGCTCGCTGGTGAGCCACAAGACCGACCGGCACCAGCAGGAGCTGGAGGAACTCAGCAAGATTAAGTACCAGCTGGACGGAGAGGCTACCGCGGTGCAAACTGTGTGAGGCCGGATCCGGCTCCTGACCGCAGGGGGTGCCTGGAGCTGGCCGGTTCCCCCGGCTGCCCCGGGGATGGCCAGAAGACGTTGGCGGCTCCCCCAAGCGGAGGCTGCTTGAGCCGGACAGGAGAGACAGCTGCTGGCTGGGGGCTAATCCACAGCTGGGGTCGTTCCCAGCCGTCTCCTCCTCCTGCCTCTGCTGCTTTCGGGCTGGGTTTTCCGTCCCTCGCCACCTCAGCCGTGGGGGAAGTGGGGCTGGTTTGTCCGGCCTGACCAGGCACTGCCCAGGAGAATCGCTCCCCGTCCCCTCTCCTTCCCGGCCATGCTTCCCCTGCTGAGGCTGTGGTAATGACGCCCAGCCAGCGGCTCGTCCTGGGGGGTGGGGGTGCTGTGTGGGGCACACAGGTACAGATCGGGGGAAAGTGTAGACACAGATACGGCCAAGCTGGGGTCTGCAGTGGGGCATACGCACAGATCTGGGGCTCAGCCACCATTCGGGTACAGCGGTCCCGGAGCTGGGGTAGATGGGGGGTGGGGGGAGTTTATTCTCAGCCACGTTGCCGAGATCCCCCACTAGGGGGCAGCGCTGAGGCATCAACGGCCTCTCCAGCCTTTGGCGGCTATGGGAGCGGGGCGCTTGTCCCTGGGCTGAGAGCCAGTCAACTCATGTCCTACCAACCCCCCAGCCCTGTCCTGGAGGGCAAGGCCCCGTGTCCCTCTAAGCCAGCCAGTCCCTCTCCCTGGGGCTGGATCGGTGCCAGTGCCCTGTGTCCTCTTCCCCACTGGTCATTAAATAAAATTAATGACTGACTAGCTGATATAGCGACCTTTGCTCTCTAACTACGGTCAGAGCTCCACTGCAGAGAACAAAACAGTAGCTAGCATTAATGTAGGCCCTCTGATAATATGGTCCATACCCTGTCCCAGCAGAGGACAACACCCCTTGCTAAACCAAAACAAAAGCCAGTTCTGTCAGACCTATAATGTCTTGTGCTTGGCTTCTATCAAGCAGGAACAGGTACTTAAGCAGAGCAAAACAGACTATACTTTTGTAGGACCTACGATATGTGGCATTGATTGCGGATGGGAGGGGAGCCCATCTTGCTTGCCGAATCAGTGTTTTTGGTAGGACCTGTAATAATGTGGTGTTGCAGGTCCAGCCAGCTGCTTAACTGAAACAGCCAGCCAGTGGTCTTTTTTTTTTTTTTTTTTTTGGGGGTAGGGCCTATAATATGTTGTCACACATTCAGCCAATGTGCAGGCAAGTAGCTTAATGGAAACAAACTGCCAGTGCTTAGTTGTAGGGCCTATAATATTGTGTACTCTGCCCTGCAGGGTGGCGAGCAGAAATGTGTGGTTTAGCTGGAAGGACAGAACCTTTTGCAAGAGAGCCAGAGACATTATTAACGTCTGCAGAGCAATTCACAGCCATACTGCAGTGCCTTATAATCACCAGCAGCCTGGTGCTTGGAGGGGAGTGGGGTCTAGTGGTCAGAGCAGGGGGGTGCCTGGCCCCTCTGATGCCGACAGTTCGATCCCGCACCAAGGATTGTGGCTGGCTCCAGCCCCCTGGGGTCTGCTGGTGGATTTTCTGGTCTTTTTGTGCCTGTCATTTTTTTGCAGTTTGTAAATAAACGATTGTCTTTGGCAAAGGGCCCGGCTGGGGACAGTTATTTGCAGGGGCAGCCCTGGGGCGATTGTAGATGCAGGTGGTTCTCTGGTGGCAAAGCGGTCTCTGACTAACAGCTGGACCCACATGCATGGCCCCAACTCCCTCCACGAGAGGGGCTGGGAGCCAGGACTCCTGGGTTCTCTCTCTCCATCTAGGATGGGGGTGGGGGTTATTGGGTTCTCGCAGGGGGAGCCCACATCTCCCCCACCCCACAGCAGGCTGAGCCCTGAGTTGGGACAGACTCTGTTGATGCCCCCTGTCCCCGATTCAGAATAAACATTTACCCTGCCTGGAAGCAGACACTGCTGGCCAAAGAGGGAGCGGGGAAGCTGGGCCCAGGGCCAGAGCAAGAGGGGAGCCCGGGAAATGGAGCCTGAAGGGCCAGGCTGCCTCTGCCACAGGCTGCAATGAGCCTGGCATAGGATAGGAGTGGATGTTGCCATCCCAGCCTCGCCCAGCAGGGGGCACTGTGGGGAGCAGGGCAGGAGCGCTGGCGGTGGGGGGTGCTCCTAGCTACTCCAGGCCCAGCCTTTCCCAGCAAGGGGGTGTTGGTGAGACTCAGGGAGGGGCAGGTTTAGGGTGTGTGCCTGGTTTTAGGGACGCCATGAACCGAAACCCCCAGGGCTGAACTCAGGTCTGGACTAGTCTGGGGTGGAGAAAATGAATTAATAGCTGTTCAGTGTGAAACTTTAGCTGGGGAATGGGATGCGGGCCCTTTCCCTTGTAGGGGCCCCAGCTCCCATCTGGCCCCAGGGGGTGAGGAATGGGCATGGGGCCTTTCCCCTCTAGGGGATGCCAGCTCCCATCCTAGCCTCTGGCTGGGAACCGGCTGGCTCAGGGCCAGAGGTAACCCCAAAGGACAGAAAAGTTTGTAGGTAGCAAGCTAGTTTTAAGCTATGTCTGAAATATCTGGGTGACTGCTGCCCTCTGGTGGGGGAAGTGAGCCATTTACACCAGGGGATTGTTGAGGTGACCTGCAACAAGGAAAATCAAATGCAGTGTTGCTATTAGTTATTTCTACTTCATCTCATTCTCTGTCGCGCCATGTTTCCTACGGGCCCTGACTGAGGTCAGGATCCCTGTCCCAGAGAGCTCGTGTTCTAAATAGATCAAGGTAGGATCATTCTTCCCACTTCAGATGGGGAAGCTGAGGCCCAGAGAGATTCAGTGATTGGCTCAAAGTCCCCGAGGGAGGCTGTGGTGGAGATGGGCATAGAACCTAGCTGTCCAGACTCTGTCTGGTGTCTTCACCACAAGAATGACCGTCACAATGGGTTTGTGTAGGGTGACCAGATGTCCTGATTTTATAGAGACAGTCCTGATGTTTGGGACTTTTTCTTATACAGGTGCCTATTAGAATATCAGGGTTGGAAGGGACCTCAGAAGGTCACCTAGTCCAACCTCCTGCTCAAAGCAGGGCCAATCCGCAGACTTTTTTTTACCCCAGTTCCCTAAATGGCCCCCTCAAGGATTGAACTCACAACCCTGGGGTTAGCAGGCCAGTGCTCAAACCACTGAGCTATCCCCCCCACCCTTGTCCTGATTTTTCGCATTTGCTATCTGGTCACCCTATGTTTGTCTCTCTCTTTTTTTTTTTTTCTGCTTTCCTCTGCATACATAAGCCCTGAAGGAGTTTTGTAATTCATGTCACTTTAGTCTTGGAACAAACAGTACTTTGCCTATGTCTGTTGGCTGGGAGTCTCCTAGGAGTCCCCAGAGAGGTGGATCAGGGCTGTCACAGCCTTAAATTGAAACCATGTTGGGTATTTCACATAACAAACTTTTCTCACCAGTGGTTGGCAGGTGTTTGAGTTAAATAGGGAGATTAGTAAAGGACAAAGACCACTAAGTGGCCTTTATCGCTACACCAGGGTCAGCGGCTGGTTAGGAGGGTCACTTTTGTTAACAAGTAGGCATGGCCTTCTCCATCTATGCTCCATCCACCTTTATGTGGTAACAAGACTCATTTATACATGTCCCACCCCAATGTGGTTGAATCTGCTGGGGGGCAGGGCATCTGTGGGTGCTATCTGCTTATTGTCCCTGTGCAATGTTAATATGCCCATTGGTGGCAGATCTTGGGTACAATGGGTTTATTACCCCACCCGCTAAATAAAGATGGGCAGGACTCAGAATGTGGCTTGCTGGTGGGTGTCAAGGGAGACTGGTATAACATGTACATTAAGGAGGAGACTAGCTGGGGGCACCTCGAACATCTCCTTGCATTCAACACTGTGTTTACTCCTTGTGGCAATGCTACAACAGGTGTGAGCATTGAGGACAGTAGATTCAACACTTGTGAAAACTACATATGGAAATATATTGAACCATTTGTAATCAAAGGCCTCCTCCTCCTCTAAATGTGAATGGCTGGGGCTGATTTAAAAAAATAGGGAGAATCTGTGGTAATTAATTGTTTTGAAAGTACTTCCAGCTATCAAAAGATAGGTCAGAGGATGCAAAATTGGTCCCGGAGGGCACAAGATAGGTCTCAGGAGGTTGTAATTGAGCCTATGGAAGGGCACTAGCAGATTCAACAGACTGCCTCTTCTCCTCAAGTACATGACAAAAATCAGCCTTGGTGAATTAGCATTTTATTTGGGGGGTCTCATGAGATTTTGGATGGTTTTATTAATTACTTAGATTTATTTCAATTTATTGACCTTTTCCACAATGAAGAAAATGCTGAAGGTGAGTCACTTTTTTTTTATTGCCTTCCTTAGGGGAAAGGGATGGATTAGCTGTGTAGATTCCACACAATTTACCCATGGACCTAAAAAAAAAAAAGTTTTTGAAGTAGTAGTTGAATTTCTGCTCTCTGATGTTGTTTAACTTAATTAATATATTTAATGGTTTTTCTACCCTGTGACGAAAGTGCTGGCAGCAGATGAGAGAGTCGTTTTTTCCTGTTCTTCCTCTCATCTCTACTTGGCTCCAGCTGTAGTTGGCTTTAACAGGTTCGGCATAACCCTTAAAATTAAATAATTATATTATGTTAATTCAGGAGCTGATTCCTCTCCTACTCGTAACCTTTTAAAGGGAGGAAGTTATTTATTTGAATGTATCGTAATTTGTTGCACCCCGTGGCAAAAGTGCGGTAGCCCAATCAATCCCCTAGGATTCCTCCTAGCCATTGGAACTCGCTGTGATTTCTCCTGTGCAGATTCAATCCTGTGATATCCAATTACTCCCTTTTAAATAATAATATATAATCAGTGGACTCATTTGCCTCCCTCTGATTCTGCTCTAGCATTGTAATTCGTTACTTTAATATATTTAAATTTCTTCTATTTCATAGTGAAAGTGCAAGGTATGAATAACCGACTCCCTTTTCCCACCTTCCCTTCTATGGAACTAGCTGACATTTTGCCAAAGCAGATTAAATACTTGAACCTCCCATTTCTTTCCGCACAAATAATATGGTGATTTTTTTGGAGGATGGGGTCACTTTCGTCCTATTGGCTCTGTTCTTAGGGTATAAATAATTATGTAAAATTAATCAAATTTACTTAATCATATGACGAAAGTGCGGGGCACAAATAAACTACTAGGTTTCCCCTCCCTTCCTTGGTACTAAATACAATTTCGCCAAAGCAGATACTATCTCTCAATCTCCTATTTCCCCAATATAAAATGATATGATATATTGGGGATTTCATTCCTTTATTGGCTTTCCTACAATTGTTTAATAAATTATTTAAATATATTTTAATATATTCCGTCCCTTAGCGAAAGTGCAGAGTTTGAATAATTCCTCTTTCCTTTCCGAGGAACAAGCTATGATATCACCAAAGTAGATTCAATCCTGCCTCTCCCATTCTCCCCTCTATAAAAGTATTATGAGCCGATGTGGGAGTGGGACAGGGCTCATTTGCCTCCTGGTGGTTTTTCTATGCTGCTGTAATTAAATATTTAGATTTATTTAAATGAATTCCACATGGCGAAAGTGCTGGAGTCAAATAACACACTCCTCCCCTAGCTGTGATTTCTCTAGACCAGATTCGTTCTCTGAACATACCATTCTCCCCATCTTTAAAAAATAATAAGACCCGGGGGACATTTCCCCCCATTTTACATGTTACTAACGTTGTAATTACTTATTTAAATGTTTTAGATTTATTCCATCCCATGACGAAAGTTTTGAGGTTTTACATTCCCCCTCGGAACTAGCTGCGATTTCACCGGAGCTGATTCAATTCTTCTATCTCCAATTATCCCCTTCAAAAAATAGCGCGGTGCATCAGAGCGACTCACGTTCTTCCTCTTGCCTTTCCGCTCCGTTACGATTCATTATGTAAATATATTTAAATTGAGACCATTCCGCAGCGAAAATGCGCCTCTCTCCTTCCCTTCTGTGAGGCTAGCTGCTGTTTCTCTTCCGCGGATTCGTCACCTTTCCCGAGCTTGGGGTGAGAGAGAAAAATAATCGCCCCACTACAGAACGAGAGAGAGGGAGGAGGACGGCCTTACAGCCGGAGTCCACCTCTAGCGGAGGCGAGTAGTTCCTATTGCCTGCGTCGAAAGGGCGGACGCGAACACACAGAGCCGGAGACGGGAGTGGAGGGGGGGAGCGAGCCGGCGGGAACTCTCGCGCGAGCCGACGGGACGTCGCCCGTTGGCCCCGCCCCCTCTCCCTGTCTGCGGCGGCGGCAGCGGCAGTAGCGGGCCCCCCTGTTCGCCGAGCGAGGAGGCCGCGCGCGCGGGGGGGGAGGGCCGGGAGCAGCGAGGTGAGCGCGGCGGGGGGCGCGCGCGGGGTCCCCGCGAGGCCGAGGGGGGCGGGGCCGAGGGGGGCGGCGGGTGAGGAGCGGCGCGCGAGGGGACGGTTACAGCCGGGGGATGGGCTGGGCGC